TTAGTCAACCAGTAAGTCTGTCACTCAGTTAGTCAGTCAGCCAGTCAGTCAGTCAGTCAGTCATTCTGCCTGTCAGTCAGTCAGCCAGCAAGTGAGCCAACCAGTCAGTCCATTAGTCAGTCTGTCAGTCAGTCTGTCAGTCAGTAAGCCAGCTAGTTAGTCAACCAGTCGGTCAACCAGTTAGTCAACTGGTTAGTCAGTTAGTAAGTCAGTCAGTCTGTCAGTCAGTCAGCCAGCCAGTTAGCCAACCAGTCAGTCAGTTAGTAAGTCAGTCAGTCAGCCAGCCAGTTAGTCAACCAGTTAGTCAGTCAGTAAGCCAGTAAGTCAACCAGGTAGTCAGTCAGTTAGTCTATAAGTCAGTCAGCCAGCCAGTTAGTAAGTTAGTCAGTCACTTAGTCAATCAGTCTGTAAGTCAGTTAGTCAGTCAACCAGTCAGTCAGTTAGTCAGTTAACCAGTCAGTCCATTAGTAAGTCAGTCAGCCAGTCTGTCAGTCAGTCAGTCTGTTGGTCAGTCAGCCAGGTAGTTAGTCAACCAGTTAGTCAGTCAGCCAGTTAGTCAACCAGTCAGTCTGTTAGTCACTCAGTCAGTCTGTCAGTCAGTCTGTTAGTCACTCAGTCTGTCAGTCAGTCAGACAGTTAATCAACCAGTCAGTCTGTCTGTCTGTCAGTCAGTCAGTCAGTCAGCCAGTTAGTCAACCAGTCAGTCAGGTAGTCATTCAGTCACTCAGTCAGTCTGCAAGTCAGCCAGCCAACCAGCCAGTCATTCATTCATTCAGTAAGTCACTCAGTCAACTAGTCTCTGTTAGTCAGTCAGTTAGTCAATTAGCCAGTAAGTCAGTTGGTCAGCTATTCAGTCATTCAGTAAGTAAGTCAGTCAGTCAGCCAGCCAGTCAGTCGGCCAGTCACCAAGCCAGTCAGGTCGTCAATCAGCAAGACTGTCAATTACATGTACTGATGCTGGCTGTATAAGCCATAATGTAGATTGCATGACTGATCTTACCTGCAGTCAGTTTTACATCTTTTTATCCTCCATGTGAAAATCATGAGAACTTTGAACAAAGTTCTGACTTCAGTGCTAACAAAGTTTGAAATTTTAAGTAGTTTCAAATTTCAAATTTTGCTAAATCATGAATGATATTTTAGTTATCAGCCTATTTAAATATGTTAACAAAGTTAATAAAGTGCTAGGTTTGACAATTTTTTTGGCTGAACGTTTGGAGTTGCTGAGTTCAGAGACTGTCATTTTGAGTTGGAGATTTTTTTTTTCAGCAACACCCTGGACTTAATTCATGGCTTTCTGTTGTTTTCCTTTTTCAAAACTTTTTAAGTTCAATGTAGTGTACATAAGGAACGAAAAAATGACTTGACTGAATAATAATATGAAATTAAAGCCTTTTTTTTCTCAAAACGTTTCCTATTTCAGCCAAACGTTCACCAAATTACTGCTGCTGACACTATGATTCGATTTTGAACTTAAATTTAAAGGTTCAGTGGTTGGCAAATAATTGGGTCATTGACAATGTAGTTCTTTGAGAATGACTTTGCAATGTAATTTTGCACATGAAGGTGATGTAAAACTACTGTGACTATAGCAGAACTTAGCTCATATCTATAACTGTGGCAAAACTGATCAAAAGAAAACTAATACTTATCCAGGAATAACATGCTAAATCTATTTGGCATGATTAATTTTCAAGCCAATTTTTAGACACACAATAAACTAGGATTATAAAATGAATTTTCATGCGCATTTTCATAGTATAATAATTATACTATGAAAATGCACAGAGTTTATTCAACCAGCAATGGGTTGTAGATTGATTGACATCCACTAAGGTTTTGCAAATTATGCTTAGTTGTCGAGTTGAAAACAGTTAAGGGTTTTGGATAGTTTTCCTTCATTTTGTATACATGTAACAGTGAATTGAATGGCTTTTTGAGCTTACAACACAGACTGCTTTTTCCTAAAATGGTTTAGGGTCTAGTCAATTCTAACAAATGCATTTGTCCATCAAATCTTCTGACACTAAACAGATCCAATCACTTTTTATCAATTAACTGTTTTGAGTTGATGTTCTAGATTTATTCAAAAACGTCCTTTTGGAAATCATTTGTTTTGCAAACCAACTTCTGCATAAAAAATAAAGTGGTTATGACTTTGATTAACACGAGGAATCATCAGAAGTTGAAACTTTTGCCTTTCAGTTTTTACTTACAACTGTACTAATTTTCAGTATCAAAATTGTATCAATGAATCTTGTGGCAAAAAAAATGGTGCACAAAGGAAACTCCATACACCTGAATCATGCAAATGATGTAGTAAACCTAAAGATACCCTCTACTATTAACTCACTTAAAATGCATTGAAAGGCATTTTAATGTAATGTCCCAGATAAGATTAGTATATTGTCTTTTGAACAAGCCAGCCACATTTTGTTTATCTGGTTCACTCAAGAGCTGGATTACAAAGTAAACTAGGCAACCATTACAGTACTGAAGA